TAAAATAGCTTAGAAACTGAGAAGTTCAATCATATATTTCTTAATAACTAAATCCCACAGCTGCACTACTAGTAGAGAGACGCTGCCAGGTAGAATTAATTCACACGCAATCGCTTTCACTAATGCATTCATATAAATGTAATCTTTACTGTGCTACTTTATCTGTATCTGATTTAGAATGAGCAGAAATCTGTGAGAAATATAACGACCCAAAGACAAAAGAACTGATAAAAATGAGCTGTTATAGGAGCAATAGCCATGCGGGCAGCGCTGTGTCATATGCCATAGCTGTGCACAAGGTGTTTGTCACAACTCCAGACTTGGAGATTTGTTCATTAATGACGTCATCAGCGACTAGTCGACTTCGACTCGACTTTCATCACATAAAAGTCGACTTTAAAAAATCAGAATGTGTATATATATATATATATATACATGTATAAAATTAATTTTGTATGGCATGCGTGTAATGATCTGGTACACTCTAATCATACCCTATGCCTCACAGGTTTTGCTTACCTTAGCTCCTTTTATAGATGGCATGACATCTTCTGGTTTTCCTTTGTCCAAAACTTTTCTATGTTGCTGAGAGAAAAAAAGTATCCACAAGTACATTTATAAAATGTAATTACATAGATACATTTATACATCATAGCTTGCTAGAGTTCACATTATGCAAATAGGTTTTCCACCCACCTTTTGCCTGCACAATGGCTCCTTTTTGTTCTCTTCAGCTTTAACCTCTTGCTGAATAACTTCTTTTGGTGTATTTACAGCTAGTACATCATTTATTGTAGATCCAACCACCATAATCTTTGCACCGTTTGTAACTTTGATTTCTCGAAGCGTCTTGTCCTCTGGTAGCAGTCCTTTGTACATCACTTTCTGCATAGCAGGTGGAAGACCTGATAACCATTCAAAACACACACAAAAAAAGTATTTGTCTTCAGTAACTTCAATCCTGATATAATATGGTAGTTCCAAATTATATAACATTATAAAGTCTCACTATGAAGCATTTTACTGTTTTAGTAGTGACATGAGACAGACCAGGGTAGTTTTGTGCTAAAAATTACAACATGCAGTACAAAAAGAACAGTTAGAGATTCAGGTTTGGACACACCAACTCATTTTTTATTATTTCTATTTTACACATTTTAAAATGATAGTAGCCTAATTGCTGTAGGAGGTGCATTCCGGGAAGATTTTTAAAATCTTTTGAAGGAGTTCACATATATGCTGGACACATGTTGGAAAATTAACTTAAATGATTTTAGCAAATGGCTGCAATATAACAAAGAGTGAAAAATTTAAGGGGGTCTGAATACTTTCCGTACCCACTGTATATATATATCTTTACATGCAATTAAATTGGATAATGGATGATGACAGACTCTATTGTCTTCTGTAAACCTGCTTTACAGCTGGAATTGAATTTGTTTCATAATTGGACGAATTTTACAACATTAGCAGTTATTTTCCTGTTTATTAATGTGAAGCAGCTTTGAAATAATCTGTATTGCATTAGGCGCTATATAAGTAAATGTGACTTGACTATGATGCATGTGTCCAAATGTTTAGTTTATCTCTAATTTATTCACAAAAGAGATAATGGATGATGACAGACTCTATTGTCTTCTGTAAACCTGCTTTACAGCTGGAATTGAATTTGTTTCATAATTGGACGAATTTTACAACATTAGCAGTTATTTTCCTGTTTATTAATGTGAAGCAGCTTTGAAATAATCTGTATTGCATTAGGCGCTATATAAGTAAATGTGACTTGACTATGTTGCATGTGTCCAAATGTTTAATTAGTTTATCTCTAATTTATTCACAAAAGAGAACAAACAGGAACGTTCTCCAAGGTCTCACCTGTATGACTTCTGTAAAACACACAAGTCATGCAGGTTTAAATGACATGAGATGATGAGAATGAGAAAACCAAGACAGAAATTTGTTCCATAAAGCATATATGCCATCCAACCACAACTTTCATGCAAATTACCAGTGAGAGTGTGAATCTTCTCTTTCAGCTTAGCACCGGTGCCATCTAAAGGAATTTTAAGGTCATATTTGTTTTTGTTCCAAATGATTTTCACTTCCACCATCTCTTTCCCCTCCTCACTTTCCTCTCCGTTGCTGACAGCAGCAGGCTGAGCCGATGTGCTTTCACCATCGGTAAGAGATGCTTGTTCAGTCCTTGCTGCATCTTCTTGTCCAGCAGCTTCACATGGCACTTCTGGTACCTTCTGTGTGACCTCAGCCTCCATTCCTGCTACCTCACTTCCTGTGAGAACAATTATCAGATGAGAAAGATTTTTTAATTGTATTGATAAGAAAATGTAGTTTTCAATGCGCAAATGTTGACCTGTTTCAGAGTACTGATATGACAATTTCAAACTCTAGTATTAAAGCATTAAAATAAAACAAACAAATCCTCATGGGGCAATATTTTATAACTGATAAGATATATAGCTAATATTAACACTTTTGAGGAAACTAGGCAACTCTCTCAATTTTAGATAAAAGCTGAATTCAAGTGTTTATTCTAGATTCCCACCCACTACTAGTATGTTTTACTTCTGAAATAGTCCTAACTAGACCGTCTCTAGTATACAGGTTTCAAAAGCTAACCGACTAGCTGCTGTCCAGAGGCGCAGAAACATCTAGTAAATTCCCTTATGCTCATTTGTGCCCAACTGTTGAACTAAGACCAATAACTGTAACCACGAGCGACTCGACAGAGCCCGTATTGTAATCGTACACAACTGACTCGTCGGTAACTATAGCCAGCCCGCTGTGCTAATATTCGCAAGCTCATAAGTCTGTGTCTCAAAATTCAGTGAGCTGTCTATCTAGACAGCATCTTTGGGTGCTATTGGCTCGATTGGAACCTTCGTTTAAAGGTTCCAAACGCTTCCGCGATGCCTATAAATGTTAATCGAAAGTTCCAGAAACGTTTTAACGTTTCAGCATCCCTCAGAATGCTGTCTAGGTAGACAGCTCACTAGATTCTGTGACACAGCCGAAGTTTTCGACACGGCTAATCACAGAATATCTAGCTATTATTTCACCCTGACAAGTTAAAACAACGTCCGTTCAGTGTAATAGAAGTGTCAAATTACTGGAACTGATGTAATGCGCCTATAAATAACACTTCAAAGACTGTGTAAATGGCATTTAAGTACATTTTCACGCTACCTACCATCCTGCGCCGCCATGATGATTGTGTACAATATGAGGAAAGGCTGCTGGGAAAGCGCGTGCTGTCAGAGAATGAGCTGTGCGACTTCCTGTAGTGACTTAGCGATTTTAAAATCTGGTGTATGAAACATAACGAGGAATTTTTTGGAACCATAAATTCAGTGATACAGAATGGACATAATTATGAGTTATTCGACAAAATAATAATAATAATAAAATAAAATAAAAAAATCTTATGCCCAAAAAAGTTGTTGTAGTTTCTTTTAAAATTATTCATAAAATATATCATAAACTATCCAGTAAACTATTAAGTTTAATGACAGTATTTTACACCCAATTTCTCCTTTGTCATCACACGTGCCCATTTATTTTAGAATTGTGTTTGTTGCAAAGCATTGCCTTTTGTAATTTTGTAAACAGGAATTTATCCCCTATTAGCAAAAATGTTTTAGTAACTTTAAAAATAAACTTTTTTCATAATTTATTTCTTGCAAAAGTTGACATTCATACATTTTAATTTAAAAGAAATTTCAAGAAATGTGTTTATTCTTAAAAAAAAAAAAACTCAAATTACTTATACGACCTACTGTGTAATACAACAATTTCAGAATTTCATGTATTGTGACCCTCTTAGAATATTTAGTTTAGGCTATTGTCTTTTTGCTTGTAAATGTTACATTCTTTGTTGAAATTCACAAAGAAAAGAGCTTAACGAGGATCCCAGATGTGACGTAGCCTATCGACGTTTGATGATTTCCAAATAATAGTGATTGACTTGCGTTCGGTGTATGGCAAGCCGTTTTAGCTTAAAATATTCCCAGCATTGCTTGTCGTAATTGCATTTTTACTAGTAAGAATTTAATTACAGAGCTCTACAATTAAATTCTTACTAGTAAAAATTTAATTAGAGAGCTCTCTAATTGTACTTGTTACTAGTAAGAATTCAATTGTAGAGCTCTGTAATTAAAAATGAATGGAAGTCAATGGAGACATATGACTAATAAAAATTCAATAGAGATCTCTAATTGGAATTCTTACTAGTAATAATTGAATTAGACAGCTCACTAATCATAATTATTACAAATAAGAATTGAATTAGAGAGCTCTCTAATTGTAATTTTACTAGTAAGAATTTAATTGTAGAGCTCTGTAATTAAATTCTTAGTAATAAAAATGCAATTACGACGAGTAACGCTGGGAATATTTTGTTAATAAAAAAGTCAATATCTATATGGCTTGCCATAGCATATTGCATATAGATCTACGGACGATCTACGCGTAAACTTACCCCTACCTTACCTTGAGGGGTTGGTGATCTTTCAGCGCTTACTCAATCGACAACCTTAGTATAAACAAGTATAGAGATCATTTCACGCACATCCTAATGCGCATACAGTGAATGGCTGCTGATTTTAAAGATCAAGCATGACTGATACAGCAACAACAGCAACTGCGTGTTAAAGTTTGGCTTTGTGAATAGGGTAAGTTATTGCAGTGATACAGTGTTATTGACAGCATGTGTAACTAGCACTGTGCTGTAGCTAACCTGGAATAACTGAGTAGGCTAACTAAAGGTTAGGTGGTCGCTTAAACTTAAAATGTATTAAATAGCTCAACGATACAGAGAATTTATCAAATCATCTTGAAGCAACATTTTTACACAATATATCCAAGCAGCATACTGTACATAGGTTTTATATATATATAAAACCTATGTATGTATATGTGCTTTTATATTTAGGTATTTATTAAATACCGAAATATAAAATCAAATTACAGCATCCCCTCGCCATGAAGTAGTTGCCACGGAAACCATTACATGGATTTTGCATTCCAGCAATTTCCATCTCATGCTTGATGGTCACGATCGCGTACACTTCTGTGACCACCAACTTGTATTCGCTAACGTTTAACTAGGCCTACTGTTATGGATATAATGCAATGCAATTATAGTGTAATACACGTGCTGTAGGATCCCTAATTACTCAACTACTCGGTTTGTTTTCTACCAGTTTGTTTCCTGGATGCTGGTTTCATTTACATGGACAAAGACACACTCGCTGAAACGCTTGCGTCTTACATGAGGATTTAATTGAGCTGAGGATGGCGGATATTAGGACATATAATGTTGTTATTTTGGGAATAGGATTTTTGCTCATTTTTACAGCCTTCACCACCTGTGGTAATATCGAAGTAAGTTGTGTTTAATTCTTATTGCATGCTATAAACTGTAGACTGAAATGTATGGTAGGATGGCATGCTTCATTATGCTGCTGTGTTTGAAAATGTCTTTGAAATGTTTATTTTGTTGTACTGAATTTTTAGCAGTACTTATGCCAAAACTTAAGAATTGCAAGCCTTTAAAGTTTGTAGCAGTTTTAAGTTTTTAATTAGCAACAGTTTCTACCAAAATAGAGCAAAAGCTAAAGTTATTTTACCACGATAAAATGTCCTTCAGACATAATTATAGTCATTTTATTCACACAGTTTTATTGTAGTAACAATACCATGGTGAAAGGCAAGTTTGTTTGTTTTTTTTGTGAAAAACGACATTCACCTTTTCAGTTAGAAACAGTGATGAAAACAGTGTATTGTTGAGGTAAATCTGGGTCAGGCGCATCTCGTGTTTTTGATTTTCCCCATCAGTCAATGAATTATCCTGCATGACTAATGGGAGGAACAAATTCAAATGTCACTGTGGACTCATTTAACCTCACGGTCACCCCACACAAAACCCACAAACTCAATTTAACCATGAAAGGATGTCTTATAAGATTCAAAAAAATATTCTATAAGGTTGATCGATGTGTTGAAAGTTGTAGTGCAAAATGAACCGTCTTTAAAATATTCACGATGACATAAGGGTAGTTGACATATCAACATGTCTTGCAGTGAAACATGCTTCATGTACAACCCTTAAATAGCATTTTTTTTTATCATTCTTTTTTTAATACATGCAGTTTTTAAGGACTTCATATTGACAACATGAATTATTTATTTAACATTAAAAAAAAAACGTTATTTGTCACGTTACAGGGCTATTTAGTTCAACAGCAAAAAGTTTGTTTATTTATTTATTTCCTTTTAGCAAACAGTGGTGAAAAGCTTGAATAGCACTAACTTCACTGGGAGTGGCTATCATAGGTAAGATCTCAGTCCTTCACCTTTTCTACATCTCATATTCATAATTTAGATATTTATGATGGATATGTAAATATAATACATTGCACTGTAAAAAAAAAATCATTATATCATTTTAGTTGATTTAATGAGCCTTCATAGCTTTAATTCGGTTTTCTTCATCAGTAATTAGATTATTGTAATTAGTGATTAAAGTGGTTGAAAAAGTGTGAAGAACTCATCACTGTATAGGTTGGCACCAGTTTGATTTAAAATTTAAGGTAGCAATTAAACTTTCATTTGCAATTTTAGTCAGTTGAACGCTGGTGAGTTTGTAATTGTGACAAAGAAATACAAATGGTGCATTATTTCACAGTGCAATATGACAAGAGAAGTAGAGGCTAACAAATCATATCACATTTTCTAATGTCAGAAATGGAAGGTAAAATAAACTAGGTGTAGATATTATGAAAATATGTTTGAAATGGGATATTCAACATTTATTTTTCCTTTTTTCTTTTCACAGCCTTGGAATAATATATGGAGTTTTTTCATTCTGTAATGTGTTAGCTCTCATTATCGTTGCAATAATTGGACCACAGTTTACCATGTTCTTGAGTGGAGTTCTTTATAGGCAAGTATCTCAGATTTCTTTCTGACTGTTCATCTTGTAGTCATCATGCCACCGTTTTCTCTGTTGTTCACTTCTGTGTGTTTTTCAGTGGTTATATAGCTGTATTCATCATTCCATCCACATGGTCCTTTTATTTCACATCAGTAGTAATTGGCATTGGAGCAGCCAGTAAGTAGATATTTAAAACACACAATCACACTCATAGTGTATTTCACTTCATCAAATATTTCATCACCTGCCAGCTAATAATTGACTGAATAGTTCCCCCAAAACTATTTAGTTAAAGAGGTCATATGATGCGATTTCAATTTTTCCTTTCTCTTTGGAGTGTTACAAGCTCTTGGTGCATAAAGAAGATCTGTAAAGTTGCAAAGACTAAAGTCTCAAATCCAAATTCTTTATAAAAGTTAAGAGTCAGCCACGCCTACCTAAAACGGCTCGTTCTAACACGCCCCCACGTCTACGTCACGATGTGGGAAGATTTGCATAACGCCGCCCAAATGTTCACGCAAAGAAAGAAGGCGTAACTTTTATTCTCGCTGTAGTATTGTTTTTGCCGCCGCCGCTATTTCGTGAAGGCGCTGTGTGATTCATTGTGAAAGCGAAACTACTTTGTTTGGCCTTCTAAAAGAGGACGATATCCGCTTCGTCATGCCTAGAGCTGATTCGTGCTGGTCGCTGAGGGAATACATCAACTTCGCGCTGTGGATCGCCGGATCGGCTTTCACCGTGGACGAAGCGGAGTCTAGCCCAGGGTCGTCACATGTGGTTGCCGCAAGCCCGCCCGCCTCCGCTCACTCAAGCCGGCCTCCGCTCACTCTAGCCGGCCTCCGCTCACTCTAGGCCTCTGACCTCCGCTCACTCTAGCCCGCCGTGTGTGACGCTGTGTCATTTGACCCCTTTAATTCTCACCCTCAGACCAAGATTCAGATGAGTTGTTCATCAGAACTATTCCTTTAACCACATAAATAATTAAATATTTTTCTCATTAAATACAAAACTTGTATGCAGTGCTGCAAAATTTTCTCAGTCGGTGTGGTTAGTCTTTTATGTACAGTACACACTACAACAGAAGTAGATGTTTCACATTTTTAAATTCCTTCACCCACTTAAGCAATACGGTAGAGGCAGGTTATAGTTGTCACTCCAAAAAGGTACTATAGTTGCATTGTTTTGTTAACACTGGTGAATCCAATATGGTCAGTCAAAATGAATCGCAGGCGATAGTTTAAATGACAGTTAAAGGTTTTAATTACTTATTTGTTAAGAGGGGTTTAATATTAAGTAGTACATTAATTCATTTTTTAATCATTATAATTGGTGCAACCTGCCTTTTTTCTATCCACAGTGCTTTGGACAGCTCAAGGGCACTTTCTGGTGGAGAACTCTGATGCTTCCACCATCAACAGGAACACAGGATTGTTTTGGGCTTTACTGCAGTGCAGGTCAGGAAGAGACAGCTGCAAACACTTACATAGAGCTCAGTCTGATGCACAATTAACCTGAAATTATAATCTGAGATTCACTTGAACAGATTACCCTTAATCATCTGTGATCATCAACAGTAAACTAATATGGAAGGTTAGGAGTCAAAGCAATAGATATTCATCAGCAGCATTCAGATTAATAACTATATGCATCTCTTAAAGGCATAGTTCACTCAAATATAATGGCTGTTGTTCCAAACTTGTGTTATGTTCTTTCTTCTGTGAAAGAACACAAAAATGATAAATTAGACAGAATGTCTAATTTTGTCTTGTCCATATAAAATGAAAATAAATGTAAACTGCCATACTCTAAAAATAAAACAAGAACATCATAAATACAGTCCAAATTTCTCTATATTCCAATGTATGTTTCAGTGTTAACTTAGTATTTTATTATCATTGAGATTCATATTTTTAATATTATTATATATTATATTATTTTAATAATATTATTAATATTTTGAATTGGTTTTCATTTTTACATTTGCTGTTTTCATTGTAATTTTAGTTAGTTTTAGTAATTTTGTTGTGTGTTTCTGTTATTGTTTTTTAATATGTCTATAGTTTTTATTAATTTTATTTCAGTTTTAGTTTTAGTTATTTTAGCACATCATGTTAAACTACATGGCAAAGAGATGTCATGTTGCCTTGGCAGCTAGTTTAAGTTAAAACAATTTTTTTTTTTTAAGTAATGTAAAAAAATTACAGTGGTTTTAGTTTTAGTTTAATATAATGTTTATATTATTTATATTACTTCATTGTATGGAAAATGGAAGCTTGGACATTCTACCCAAGGCTCCTTTTGTGTTTAACTGAAGAAAAAAGTCATATTGGAGGAGTTATACAAACTTACTAACCAAATCAGTAAAACCATCAAAAGCTATGTTTTAACCACTTTAAACTGTCCATGATTCCTGTATGAAAAATTCTATATGTGTTTTCTTTCCAGTATGTTGTTTGGAAATCTATACATTTATTTTGATTGGAAAGGAAAAACTGAAATTACAGGTAACATGATGGTTTGAAAAATCATATTTTGATAAAAGCAACTTGATTGTGTTCACTCTTTGATTTAACTTAAGTTAAGCCGCACTTATTTAATCTCTGCTAACTATATACTAACTCTCAAATGACAAAAATATTTCAAAATTTAAGAATAAATTGTTTTTTTTCCTAATGTGTGTGTACATTTTTTTTCTGTCACATATTTTACCCACAGATAAAGACAGAAGGATTATGTTTACTGCTCTGTTGGTTATCTCAGCACTCGGGACACTAAGTTTTCTTGCATTGAGGAAGGTCTGTCAGCAGGAAGAGGTTCTCTCTGAAGACGAGGGCCAGTCTCTGTTATCGGCAAGATTGAAGTAAATTCACTCATTCATTTAGTGAATCATGATGTTGAATGAGAGTTTCCACTTTGCACCAAAAACAAAAAAAGTTTTACATTTCCTTTCACAGATCCAACAATAAGGATTTTTGTTCTGCTTCCCAATCTGGCCAGAAATTCAGATTAATACTTGCCCTGTCGATATGTACCAGCGCAAAAAAAAAAAGTTTAATGTGTGGTTTTATATTCTTCATTTTAACAAAAGCAAAAAATAAATGAATAAAATACAACAAATAATTTAATAGGTTTTTAATGTCCAATAATTACGGGAAATGATGTGACTCCATGATAACCCCAATCCATAAACTTTTGTTGGAAAACGATGGTGATTGCTACTTACAGATACTTATTGTTTGAATTCTCATTGGTCGCTGATATAATTTGTTGTGTAATTTTAGATATAAACAAAGAGCAACATCTGCTGTGATGGAAGCGAAAACACAGTTTAGTAAGTTCATATGGCTTAATTTTCACATTTGTAACATGATCTGCTATTTTTTTATAAAACTATTTTATTAAAGAATTATTCAAAGAGTAATTATACAAATTGGTCATCCATTGTAGTGGTTCGTCAGTTAATTGTTGTTTTATTCAAACCCATTTTTTTATTGATTGATCGATTTATTGCTTTTGTCTTTTTTCCTTTAGAGACGATTTTGGAAATCTTCAAAACAAAAACCATATTGCTATTAAGTTTCTGCATGGCATACAGTGGTAAGGACATCACTAAAGGAAACAGCCATTAATTCCATGAGCATTTGAGCATGATGAATGTGTTTTGATTGCTGCGGTTTCATTGAAGGTTTGGAGCTGTCATTTTACAGTGGCGTTTATGGAACCTGCATTGGAGCTACGACACACTTTGGCGATGTAGCAAAAGGCTTAATTGGCATTTCAGGCATTATGGTGGGAATCGGAGAAATAGTTGGTCAGTGTACTTTCAGTTTGCAGAAGTATGAAGTGTGGACAATTAGATGTCAATTTTAGTAGTATGGACATCTAAAGACAAGCTGGGCAGGTACTTTAATAGGATTGGAGCTTGATTAGATATTGTCTCTTGTTTGCAGGGGGAGGATTGTTTGGCCTTGTATTGAAGAATAACCGTTTCAGGCGCACTTCAGTTGTCTTCTTAGGGATGGTTGTGCACTTTGTGGCCTTCTACTTGATATTCCTCAACATACCAGATGATGCACCTGTGGTTTTCCAAACAAGCTCACAACATAAGCCATATCTGGTACCAAGGTACAATAATAATTTAAGAGAGATCTGCAAAATAATTTGAAACAAAACCAAAAACTGGCAGGGAATGCATTAATTGATAAAAAAAAAAATACACTGAATGCAATATAAGCTGTTTGGATCATCTGCTGAGCTACATTTTGTTTCCTAAAGAGTGCAGTGTTGCATTGTTGATGGCGCTGTGTTCATTTATTCACACTTGTAGCGTGTCCATCGCCCTGCTGTGCAGCTTCCTGCTGGGTCTTGGGGACAGCTGTTTCAATACGCAACTCTACAGCATTCTGGGCCGGGCGTTTGCTGAGCAGAGTGCACCAGCCTTTGCTATATTCAAATTCATACAGGTAACGACAGTCTGCATTTTTTAAAATTGTATTCTGCTTGATATCAACAAGCCTGCTGTGTTATTGAATCAAGGAAAACACAGGCCAGTTTGCTTGCATAATACTGTGTCGTAAAATATGGGGCCATAGACACTGTGTAAGGAAGTTTTGTTTTTTTAATTATTATTAAATTAATATTTTTATTTGATCAAGGACTTGAATTAATCAAAAGTGACAGTAAAGACACTTATGTTACAAAATATTTCTACCACAAATAAATGCTGTTATTTTAAACTTTCTATTCATCAAAGAACCCTGAAGAAATGTATCAGTTTTTATAAAAATCTTAAGCAGTACAACTGTTTTCAACATTGATAATAATAAGAAATACTTGTTGAGCAGTAAATCAGCATATTAGAATGATTTCTGAAGGATCATGTGACACTGAAGACTCGAGTAATGATGCTGAAAATTCTTTGACATCACAGGAATGAATTACATTTTTAAATATATTAAAATAGAAAACAGTTATTTTTAAATTGTAATAATATTTCTCATCATTAATGTTTTTACTGATCAAATAAATACTACCCCGGTGAGCATAAGAGACTTCTTTTAAGAAAAATGTGTGTTTGAGTGTTATATAATAACTAAATGACATATATCAAGAAAAAATATCATTAAAAATAACATTTACACAGACTTGTGTGTATCTATGTATCTTTGTGGATCTAATCAGTGGACTAATGCATAGCCGACATTCTTGCAGTATAGGCTACTTGCATGGATGATGGTACTTAATCTGATATGATTAGGCGTGGTGTTTTGAGAATTTGAGAACTGCTGGTTTATGTCAGTAGAATATCTGATTAGTATTTAGAGACTAAAATAAGGTTCTGAAAGTTCGAAAAAATAATACTGTGCTTCATTAAAAGCTTTTTAGTTTTCCCTTAACTTTGGCAGATAGAGTTTACCCCATAACGTTCTTGATGAATAAACTGCATTTAAAGTTCCGGTGGCCAATAAATAAGGTGAAGTGTATTCAATATGAATTCGATTCAGTGTGTCAATAATACAGTCCCTCTCTCAGTCTATTTTTGCAGCAGTGGCGTTCTTCTACAGTGGTTATATACTGCTGACCTGGCAGCTCCTCGTGATGGTCGTCATGGGATTCACAGGAACGCTGTGTTTTTTCATGGTGGAGAGGATGCAGAATATGTCAGCTGACACACAGGAGTATTAGGTTGGGGTCTTTCTCAGGACACATTTCAGTAAGTGTACTACTTGCACTATTTGTTTGTTGTAATTAAGATGAAGTTGGTAGTATAAAACACTACTCGTGATTTATGCGCAAGTGCCTTTGTTTTTGTAGGACTTTTGGGACCTTAAAAATACAGATGGAATTACAGTTATTATTTTTTTTATTTACATGCTATATGATAGAAAATTGTTAGTTGGAATTGCATTACGATTTTCCATATCTTTAATGGAATTGTATTATGCTAAAAATTATATTTCAATATTTTAAAGGTGCACCCGTTTAGGTTATGTTTATGTTGTGTTGACTGACGTGGCAGACGTCTTATACTGATACCTAGTGGCGTAGTTGCAGCATCACGTAAAAGCAAAGGCTCTTGAATCTCACTGATTCTGTTGTAGAAATTCACTTGACTTAGTTATTCCATGAGCGAAGGTGTCGGATAACAGCTGGGTTAGCGAGATAAAACTAGTATTCAGCTGGTCATGTGATTATTGGACCTGCTCCATGTAAAATATAACAGCTTTTATTATGCTACTGATATGACTGGAGCCTTAGTCTCGTGTGAGATTTTAAACAGATTTTTATTAAGTATAATCCATCTCTTTATGTGTATTATTTGTTAAACAAATACATAATGAGGAAAAATACTGAGTGCACCTTTAAATTTCATGTAAAATGATGTTGGTGACGATCAGATGATTAACCACTAAATTTGAAATATGTATACACCATACAACTTACAGTCAAAAGTTTGGAATCATTAAGATGTTTATGTTTTTGAAAGAAGTCTCTTATATATAGAAAAAACTGAAATGAATTGTCTACACACAGCGGAGCTGTATCATTTCAATTAAGAAAGCATTTTTCTCAGGGTCCTGCTATATAACTGTGATTTGTATAGGATCTGTAACTCTAAAAGGCTAAAGACATGCCAATCCGCTTTTAGTTTTCTTTTCTAAAATGATTTTATACTTGTATACACTCTGTGTCCTTTATTGTGAACCATTGTTAAGTTGATAAACCATACCAGATAAGCTGGTTCAGATAATGAAAGTATTACTCCTAGATAGCCAGACAGTGATGTCATGAGGACTCTGTCACAAGACAGTCAGAACTGGTTTAAACAATATTTACACAAACGTCGTCTTCATGACAAATGTCTTGAAGACACAAGTCTTCGAGTGAAAAATTTAAGGGGGTCTGAATACTTTCCGTACCCACTGTACATGTGTTCGTACATCACAAAAGTGCTGGTTGTTGTAAACCAGTGTGTATCTGAAGCAACAGCTCTCTAGGCATACAGTTAACATGAGATTATTTGTTCTGGAACCAGTTTAGTAAATCTGGCTTTTTAAAGATTCAGTTACCTATATTAAGTGTAATGAATAATGATTGAAGCAAGTTTTACATTACATTTTACATAGCATAAAATGATGCTGAACATTACAGAAATACTGTATCTTGTTATGCATAATACATGATATAGTTCAGTCTGTGTTTTGTATTTTTGAATGTGTCATTTGGATGTCTTTTTACATTTGTACTACACCCCTGCTACACACTATCCAATTTAAGGCATACATTTCATAGATTGCAGCTATGCAATAATTTATATGTGTCACATTGTAAATATTTGTGTTTAGATTTAGCCTCATTGTGCAAAAATCGGATTTTTGAACTTGTTAATTGACAATCAGTATAAAACATTCTAACCTTTTGGGTTTGATTTGATATTTTAAGGCATTTCAATAAAGAATTATTATTATTATTATTATTATGTGTTCATGTCTATTAGGGATGCCATTATACATACCCTTTTGGTTTCTGTACCCAATATTTAAAAAATTTACAAATGTAATAAAAATATAGGTATCGGCATCGGTATCGGCAAGTACCAAAAATAAAAGTATCGGTATCGGGCGAGTACTGGAAAAAGTGGTATCGGTGCATCCCTAATGTCTATGTATAAATTAAATGTGTTCATGTCCATGTATTTCCATTTACATGGACCTTTTCACTGACCATTACAATGTAGTATATTTATAGTACTTTTACTGTCTTTTGATTATTATTTGTCCACATTATAGTTTAGTGCGTGTATAATTCAGCGATTATTACCACAGTACTGAATCTCACATCAATGTAATGAATTTCATGAACTTCTCGATTGAGTCTGCCTGAGAAAAAGAAGCATGAAAAGGAAGCCCTTCACTTTGAGGAAAAAAAATAAAAATCAAAATATCAATAAAATCATTTTGGGATTTTCAGTACTTTTTTCTTTCGTTGGTGTAAATTTTGATGCCTCTGAATTTAAACATGTATTGTATCTTTATGATTGAAATCATAAAAATTTCAATCACAGCTATTAAGTGAGACTGGGGGCATTTCTAACAAAAAACTAAATAACAAAAAGTGTCACCCACAACATTGTTTAATATATACTGTATATTTTTATTTTTGTGGAAAAAATAAAACGGTGCAAAAAATACAAGACTGACACGGCAATAATAATAAAAACAGTAATATTAACTTTACATTTTACATTAACAAATGTAACTCTCAATGTGCATCAAACAATAAAAGGCTGTAAAACATATATACAGTAGATTGATCAGGATTATCTAAGACTATTAATACACATGCAGTAATGAATTTGAGACAAATCTAGATAGACTTACAGGTGGTGAACTCAACTGTTGCGTTCTGGTCACTAGATATACTATGATCATTATAGTCAGAGCTCATTGTTGCTGTCAGAATGTAGTTGGTATTTGGCTGGAGATTTTTGGCCACAATCTCAAAGGATCCCACGGTGTTCGGCACTGTCTTGGATATCTGTATTAACATGTATATATATAAATATACACACACATTAATATACACATTGAAATGGTTCATATTATCTATACATCATATATCATCTTCCTTACATTTTCATGTCCTCCTTTGATGCCATAGGTCAGATTTATTCTCAAGGATTCAAAAAAATTTCTTCGTACCAAACCACTTTTGTCATACTGGTCATCCCAAGTTACATTAAAGTTTCCATTTTCAGTCTTTTGCACTGATAAGACTGGAGATTTCGGTTTGACTACAGAAAACCAAAAACACATATGTAAACGTGTCAGATAAGGTCGGATTAAACTTTTAATATATTTTTTTAAAATTATTTTAGAGCTAAAAAGCATGTAAATTCAACAAATGTCATAGAGAAGGATTAACAAGAGCTCATAGACAACATTTATACTCACTGAAGTCTGAAGTCATGAATCTTTCGCTTAATAAAACATTTGTTCCTTCCAGAAGTGTAGTATTGAAGATCTCTGTTGCAACAAACCCTTGCACTTTAATTTTGCACTCACAATTGTCACTGTGATGACTTCTTTCAAAGATGCATGTATACTTTTCAAACCTGCAATTTAAGAGATATTTGTGTCAATTGATTGCTAAATGAACAGCAATACATTTAGTTATAGAGGAACTACAGGCCTGGACAAACACTCACTTGTTGAATACAGGATGTGTGATGTTGAGCTTGTATCCAGAGCAGCTTTGGAGACGGTCAGAGGAGAGACTGCATTTCATTTCTGTCTCATAGTCATTAAAACACTTCAAGTCCTCCTTTGTGGGCACTACAGTGATTGGAAAATAAAAGACTGGGTGAAATCACTATCACAAATGACCACAGCAGAAGCAGCTTTGCAAAAGTAAAAGTGGTTTAACACTAAAACACTGTAAAATGTATAAAGGATGCCAAAATGAATTTTGAGGAGAGCAAGTAACAATTCATGTCTAAATTATGATTTGTGATCATATTAATGGATTGTTATCTGAATCATCAGCTTTTCTCGTTTATTCTGATGTAGGCCTATAGCTAATAGTTCACGACATTTTCATCATTGGGGGCCACACACATTAGGCTACACGGAAAATAACGGTGTATAGAGTTACATTGGACACAATTGTGGCAGCATACATACATACGATATGTTTTCAGAGTTTAGAGACTGTGTTTTAAAGCTTACCGTAACAAAGTGCCTGGCAGAACAGTGTGAGGATGATCTGACTCAGAAGAACTGTGGAAAACATTGTGACCGTGCTGTAAAAAGAAGAAAGCTCAAATTAAACACACGGTTTCACTCACAAACACACAAAAAGGCCAATAAATGCTCAGTTTAAGCCCTACGCATAGCAGAACAAGAACATGCGGGACTGAAGTTTCGTTATTCGGACATCAGATCTGACCATTTTTGGTGCTTCCGCCCGCGTTTAGAGAAGTTCTTTATAAACGAGGTTAGGCAATTATGGGTCAACAACAGGACACAGAAATTTTGACTTTTGACTTATTTTTTTTTATTATTATTATTATATATATATTTGTTTAATGTATACTCATTTCGCTTAACAGGTTATGTGGGATGTGAGAGGAGAAAACATTTCCTCCACTATCCCATACTGGTTACTATTAAACAAGGTTAATTTATTTCATGAATGTGTAAAATTGTGAGGTTGAAAACCAGTAGAAATGCCTTATGTCGTGACTTTACACAAACGCCCAGCAATGGCGCTGCAATCATCCAAATGACTAATCTATAAACGCTGCTTATGATATCATTTTGTTACTGATGACAGTTAAAGCTGCAGTCCGTAACTTTTTTTGGTTAAAAATGATCCAAAATCAATATTTGAGCAAGTACATAACCAGCCAGTGTTCGAAACTATCGCCTTACTTTAGCCCGATTCACAACGGTTAGCTTATAATAATGTTTTTTTAATTTGAGTGGTAGGGGTAGGTTTTCAGGGGTAGACGTATGTCACGTCTGTAAACATAAAGAAGTTGTCCCGGCTACTAGGCTATTGCATGTGAGGATCCTGCAGGTGGCGGATAGTTTATAGCCTTTTCTCACAGCAGCCAGAATAATGAAATGTATCATTTTGATGGCGGACAAATCTTTGTAATCCCAGGCTATCTGTAATCAGAAGCATATTTTATAACTGGAATATAATTAAATTTCATTCATATGTGAATGTCACACCCTTTATGGATTATGTGTTTATGAAACACATGTGAATGAAATTAAATTATATTCCAGTTATAAAATGTGCTTTTGATTACAGATAGCCTGGGATTACAAAGATTTGTATTTTAAAGAAAACCAGTTCAAAGGGAGCATAATTTGCTTTTTGGGTTAAAAGAATTTCTTAATATGAAATTCGAAGAGTATGACAATTAGATTAGACTGTGCAGAAATTGAAATCTACACGCTAATACACACTATACTCATAGTCACCAATGCTGATGCTGTTAACATTAATCATTTGAGAATAAAGTATAACAATAATAATAATTTGAACGGTTTGATGTGATATGAGCTAACCGATCTTTAGATTTAATCACCATTGGTAGCGAGATTTATGGTAATGCTTTTTTCCTCAGTCGGTCAGAACAAACGTGGCAGACTTTTTACTTACTTGTTCAGATGGCAAAATACAGTGAAAATTCTTATTTGGGTCATATATTCCAAGACGTAGCTAGAATCTGTGATTGTGAAGTACAGTAAATATCCACACCGGTGCGGTGACTGACTGCCACACACACATACTCTTCAGAACATTTGCCTTACTTTAGCCCGATTCACAACGGTCAGCTTATAATAATGTTTTCTATTTTGAGTGGTACGGGTAGGTTTTCGCGGGAAATTCGAGCATGGCACTGCATCATTACGTCACTTCTGTAAACATAAAGAAGTTGTCCCGGCTACTAGACTATCGCATGTGAGGATCCTGCAGGTGGCCGATCGTTTATAGCCTTTTCTCACAGCTGCTGGAATAATTAAATGTATCATTTTGATGGCGGATTGTAATCCATAAAGGATTATGTGTTTATGAAACACATGTGAATGAAATTAAATTATATTCCAGTTATAAAATGTGCTTTTGATTACAGATAGCCTGGGATTACAAAGATTTGTATTTTAAAGAAAACCAGTTCGAAGGGAGCATAATTAGCTTTTTGGGTTAAAAAATGTCTTAATTTGAAATTCAAGGAGAATGACAATTAGATTAGACTGTGCAGAAATTGAAATCTAAACGCTAATACACACTATACTCATAGTCACCAATGCTGATGTTGTTAACATTAATCATCTGAGAATAAATTATAACAATAGTAATAATTTGAACGGTTTGATGTGATATGAGCTAAGCGATCTTTAGATTTAATCACCATTGGTAGTGAGATTTATGGTAATGCTTTTTTCCTCAGTTGGTCAGAACAAACGTGGCAGACTTGTTACTTACTTGTTCAGATGGCAATATACGGTGAAAATTCTTATTTGGGTCATATTCCAAGACTTAGGCTAGAATCTGTGATTGCGAAGTACAGTAAATATCCACACCGGTGCGGTGACTGACTGCCACACATACTCTTCAGAACATTAGATTCATCCAAGCTGGAGCCGTGCCGACTCACAACCCACGCAAGCTAGATAATTCTGCACACAGCTGCAATTCCAGGTTTTCAAACAGAGATGGCAACAAAGAGGCAAAACTTACGGACTGCAGCTTTAATAAACAGAAGTAAAAGTGTCATCCACACCTAAATGTATCATAGAAGATGAGGCCGTTTTTGAACTGCACATTAACGCCACCAGAGCTACACCTGTCCAACTGACTATTCTACCATTTTTCTGTCGCATGACATGAACTTTATAGGCCCTATAGACAACTTTCAATAGTTAGCCTACATAATTATGGACCTTTAGTTTTCATAGCCTATTGTTATACATAATTCATTCTATTCATATCGCATTCGATTACAGTACCACTTTCTAGAGAACAAAGCTGTCCCTTGTTCATAAATACTTGCATAAAGCATCATTCGTTTATAGTGTAAATGTCTCAACATGCACTTCAGTGTATGATGTTCCAAGGAAATACAAATTAGCTTCCTGGTTCATGGCAGGCACCATAAAACAAAAGCCCTGTGAAAACATGTTTGAAATTCCCCTGAAGGCCTTTGGTTGAACTCAGACTCTATTTCAACATTCTGAGGTTTTATTTTAGAAAGGTAAAAACAAGGGCGTACATTTACATTGCTCTTATTGAGCAGTGCTTTAGTTTTTGTTAGAATGCCATAGTGTAAGTGGACCTATAGTGATTACATACAAAAATAATGAAATGTTTCATGCACGTACCAATCATCTGTTTGACAGCATAGTAACTGTACTCAGGCTGACAATAACTGTTTATGAACTGACCGAGGTGAGTGGAGTCTTTGAAGAGTAAACCATTGTCCTGTTGACGATAGCAAAACAAAAAAGACAACAGTGTCATCTACATCTAAATGTATCACATATACAAACATATATTTTTTTGTTGAAACAACATCCTATAGAAAAATACAAGTTCTATTCACAGACTGAGACAGCAAGTATAATGCCATTAGCAAATATCGCATAATGTAATAAAAAAAGTCAATGCCAAGAAAAATAATACATGACTTCCAAGAGAATTTAAGCCACTGTATAACCCCCTTATTGTTGAAAGAGTGGATCCTGGATTTAGGTATTAAACAAAGTTTCTTATTACTGGTAATATTTTCAAAGAAATGATTCATTGCAACTGTAGAGATCAATAGTTAAAATGTAAACATACCCATCATTTGTTTTCACAGCATAATTAAACAGAATAAGAACTGTGTTATCATGCCTTTAAAATTTGCCTTCGCAAATTTGACTTGGTGTCACATTTGGCATTGTGTGTAAAATAAAAGAGTAATAAAGAAGTATGAATAACAAGAATAGTTACTGTATATGATCTCAACAGGCATTTAAAGGGATACTCCACCTAAAAATGAATACTCTCTGATCATTTACTAACATGCACTTGCATTATATGGACTCACTGAGATGGATTATTCTTCTAAAAATCTGTGTTTGTGTTCCACAGAAGATAGAAAGTCATCTGGGACAGCATGAGATCATTTTAATGAGTGGAATATCCCTTTAAGGCATTTTTCAACATCTTATTGCAGAAGTAGCTAGCAAAACCTAAATTCAAGGCATTGGCTCTAAGCCTGAACAAATAGTGAACAAAGTTTGCATAGTTCTTATTACTGGTCATATTTTCAAAAGAATGATTCATTGTAACTGTAGACATTGCATACAAAAAATAATTAAAGGTTTCAGGCATGTACTTATCATTTGTTTTACAGCCCAGTTAAACACATTGATATGAATTGTCTATTTGAATAACGGGTGAGAAATGCAAAGAAGAGGCCCACAAACTTTGCTGCACAGATGTGGGATCTTGGCTGGTGCTGTGGGGGAATTTCAAAGCTTTACATGCATTAAGTGCTTGTTCAGTACTGACGCTTGTGCTCCACTGTCCTTCTGTGCTCTTTGTTAAGCCTTGAAAAGCCTGATATCCTTCATCACTTGGTGTGACACTGCCATCATGCAGAATCAGAGAAGGATAGAGTGGATTTGTGCTGGTGATGAGATTTTTCATGATGCATTTCTCATCAGCACCAACACTATTTGAAAGGTTCACACAAACATCTGGATCATTTCCCTTTTCCAAAACACTGCTGAAGCACTGATATGCGTCTTCCAGAGTATCATTAGTGGGAGAGTTAAACTGGCTATCGCATGTATCCAAGTCTGAAACTTCCCTCTTGCCAGACTGACAGTAATGATCACCGCTCAGCTCCAGGAATAAAGAATCATTAGTGGCTGATTCCCAATATGACATATTACTGAAAACTGATGAGCCAGAGCAATTGCCCGAATCTCGGTTTGCACGGTTGTGTTCTCTTGAGGAACTGATTCCGTTAACACTCTTGTATGAGCTGCTCATAGTAACCTGATTGTTGGGGGGGAACGGTGATGGGTTGTTTGAGATTGGACGTGATTTAAACACCTCATCTAAGGCATGCTCGACACGTAATGCGATGTTGATGGTGCTGATATTCTCTTCCGGGCAAGCCTGGCCATAATCCACAGGTGCTGACTCAACACTGTGGAAACTTTTTTCATTGTTTGGGTCTACTGATAATGCTGAGATCCTGTAGAGAGACAAACATGTTGTGTCATTATTAATCAGAATTAGAATTATGCCAGTCTGTCATGCGTTTCTGACGTTTTTGGGGGAAAAAAGAACAAACAAGCAAACATAAGAACATACAATTTCTTATCCTCCTGAAGGTCCAGTGTTGGAATCCAATCTACTTGGATTGGAGAGAACTTCGTAACAGATGGAGGCAAAATATGACCCTATTAAACATGAGAAAAAAAATAAGGCGTTTATTTTGATCCACATTATGATGAAATATTAACATTATTGATGGTTATTGCAGGATCTTTCTCCCACCTTCTCTCCAAGATTGGCATCTATTTTTGGCTTGGAGATTTTGTCCCACCAATTCGTCTTCATGCTGTAATGAAGAAGTAAAGTGTGTCAGAATTGAATTTGTCAAGGATGCATAAAGGAAGAGCAAAAATGTCAAATGTTTTGTTATCGAATGATGGAAAAACACAAAACAGAGAACTCACCTCAAAATGCAGATGAAGATAATACAAATGATGATGATTAAACCAACACAGAGAGGTGGAATCATCATTTTGGCTATTTCATTTGGGGATGAGGCTGTAAAACATATATACAGTAGATTGATCAGGATTATCTAAGACTATTAATACACATGCAATAATGAATTTGAGTCTATATAGACTTACAGGTGGTGAACTCAACTGTTGTGCTCTGGTCACTAGATATACTATGATCATTATAGTCAGAGCTCATTGTTGCTGTCAGAATGTAGTTGGTATTTGGCTGGAGATTTTCGGCCACAATCTCAAAGGATCCCACAGTGTTCGGCACTGTCTTGGATATCTGCATGAATATATATATATATATATATATATATATATATATATATACATACGCATTAATATACACATTAATATGGTTCATATTATCTATGTATCATATATCATCTTCCTTACATTTTCATGTCCTCCTTTGATGCCATAGGTCAGATCTATTCTCAAGGATTCAAAAAAATTTCTTCGTACCAAACCACTTTTGTCATACTGGTCATCCCAAGTTACATTAAAGTTTCCATTTTCAGTCTTTTGCACTGATAAGACTGGAGATTTCGGTTTGACTACAGAAAATGGAAAACATATGTAAATGTGTCAGATAAGGCTGGATGAAACTAAAGAGCATGCAAATTCTACTTTATCCACAAAATAATAAAGAAAAATGTTAGCAAGAAATTATAGACAACATTTATACTCACTGAAGTCTGAAGTCATGAATCTTTCGCTTAATAAAACATTTGTTCCTTCCAGAAGTGTAGTATTGAAGATCTCTGTTGCAACAAACCCTTGCACTTTAATTTTGCACTCACAATTGTCACTGTGATGACTTCTTTCAAAGATGCATGTATACTTTTCAAACCTGCAATTTAAGAGATATTTGTGTCAATTGATTGCTAAATGAACAGCAATACATTTAGTTATAGAGGAACTACAGGCCTGGACAAACACTCACTTATTGAATACAGGATGTGTGATGTTGAGCTTGTATCCAGAGCAGCTTTGGAGACGGTCAGAGGAGAGACTGCATTTCATTTCTGTCTCATAGTCATTAAAACACTTCAAGTCCTCCTTTGTGGGCTCTACAGTGATTTTAAAGTTTTAAAATAAAAAGCAAACTATATCACACATGACCAAAGTAAACAGTTGTTTTGTAAAAAAATAACAGTAGTTATGACAGCAAAACATGGTGTAAAAATGAGCCACGTACATGACAAAATTTTGAGGTATGAAAGTAAAAGTAAAAATTCGACAGAATTGGTGTCGTCTTAATCAGCACGTTCTTTAATTTAATAAAAAAAACACCCACATCAGCTTTTCATCAACACGTTTTAAATAAATAAATTAATGAACAAATGAATAAAAACTAGGAATATCATGTCTGAGCCGATGGGGAATCATATATCATCTTCCTTACATTTTCATGTCCTCCTTTGATGCCATAGGTCAGATTTATTCTCAAGGATTCAAAAAAATTTCTTCGTACCAAACCACTTTTGTCATACTGGTCATCCCAAGTTACATTAAAGTTTCCATTTTCAGTCTTTTGCACTGATAAGACTGGAGATTTCGGTTTGACTACAGAAAATGGAAAACATATGTAAATGTGTCAGATAAGGCTGGATGAAACTAAAGAGCATGCAAATTCTACTTTATCCACAAAATAATAAAGAAAAATGTTAGCAAGAAATTATAGACAACATTTATACTCACTGAAGTCTGAAGTCATGAATCTTTCGCTTAATAAAACATTTGTTCCTTCCAGAAGTGTAGTATTGAAGATCTCTGTTGCAACAAACCCTTGCACTTTAATTTTGCACTCACAATTGTCACTGTGATGACTTCTCTCAAAGATGCATGTATACTTTTTAAACCTGCAATTTAAGAGATATTTGTGTCAACTGATTGCTAAATGAACAGCAATACATTTAGTTATAGAGGAACTACAGGCCTGGACAAACACTCACTTATTGAATACAGGATGTGTGATGTTGAGCTTGTATCCAGAGCAGCTTTGGAGACGGTCAGAGGAGAGACTGCATTTCATTTCTGTCTCATAGTCATTAAAACACTTCAAGTCCTCCTTTGTGGGCTCTACAGTGATTTTAAAGTTTTAAAATAAAAAGCAAACTATATCACACATGACCAAAGTAAACAGTTGTTTTGTAAAAAAATAACAGTAGTTATGACAGCAAAACATGGTGTAAAAATGAGCCACGTACATGACAAAATTTTGAGGTATGAAAGTAAAAGTAAAAATTCGACAGAATTGGTGTCGTCTTAATCAGCACGTTCTTTAATTTAATAAAAAAAACACCCACATCAGCTTTTCATCAACACGTTTTAAATAAATAAATTAATGAACAAATGAATAAAAACTAGGAATATCATGTCTGAGCCGATGGGGAAGTTTGTAACACCTTCCTGTACCTGTACTTCTCCTGAAGCTACAAAAAAGAACAGTGCTACATTTGACACAATAGTGAGAGTGGCATCAGCATATAAATATGGAGATTTTATATCTAAGTATACATAGAGAAAAAAACAACAACAAACACTTACCGTAACACAATGCGAGACAGATGAGTGTGAGGATGATCTCACACTTAAGAAATGTGGAAAACATCCTGTACGTCCTATAACAAAAAATAAATATAATCTCATATATCTCCAAACAATTACACGTTACAAACTACAATGATTCCTCGCAAAATATAGCCTAAATGTTACGTTTTCATACCTTTAGACTGTATTTTACAGTACGTTGCCTTTAAGAAACCGAGTTTACTAACCACTCTATAGGCAAATTAAACGCAGTTAAATACGGTTTCAGTCACAACCACATACAGCAAGTAGCCCCGCAAGTAGTTTAAACCTGTTTCATATTCATATGAGCATATGCTTCACTATTCGCAAAATGGAACTCGCGAAAAAGGGCGTTTCGAACTTTCCTGGAAAACACGCAGCAGTTCCGCCGTTCCACTGACTCCCGTCCTGCTCGAGCCTGCGCTGTTCCTGACAGAAGCGCTCTCACACTGATCCCTAGCCTGCTCAAACACCACACCGGAATTCCATGGAAAACCCTCCGAGCCCAAGTCAAAGATAAACAAGCAAGAATAGTCTTCGTTAGAATGTGTTATTTGTGAGACAGTCAAACGCAAAGGGGATCATTATGCAAGGCTCGCAAAAGGAACCGCAAAATGACACTGCATTTCAGAGAAACTTTTTATGCAGTTTAAATTCCTCTTATTTCAGTTTCATGTCAAAATGAACAGCCTACCCCAATCTAAAATAGAAAATATATCAAAATGTTATATTATATTATTTATTTGTACATTTCTCCAACACATTTTCAGTATGGCAGACAAGACAGAGGTTTATTTTAAAAACATTTTAAAAACAGAATGAGCCATGCTTATGGTCTCTCTCTCTCTCTCTCTCTCTCTCTCCACTCACTTATTGAATACAGGATGTGTGATGTTGAGCTTGTATCCAGAGCAGCTTTGGAGACGGTCAGAGGAGAGACTGCATTTCATTTCTGTCTCATAGTCATTAAAACACTTCAAGTCCTCCTTTGTGGGCTCTACAGTGATTTTAAAGTTTTAAAATAAAAAGCAAACTATATCACACATGACCAAAGTAAACAGTTGTTTTGTAAAAAAATAACAGTAGTTATGACAGCAAAACATGGTGTAAAAATGAGCCACGTACATGACAAAATTTTGAGGTATGAAAGTAAAAGTAAAAATTCGACAGAATTGGTGTCGTCTTAATCAGCACGTTCTTTAATTTAATAAAAAAAACACCCACATCAGCTTTTCATCAACACGTTTTAAATAAATAAATTAATGAACAAATGAATAAAAACTAGGAATATCATGTCTGAGCCGATGGGGAAGTTTGTAACACCTTCCTGTACCTGTACTTCTCCTGAAGCTACAAAAAAGAACAGTGCTACATTTGACACAATAGTGAGAGTGGCATCAGCATATAAATATGGAGATTTTATATCTAAGTATACATAGAGAAAAAAACAACAACAAACACTTACCGTAACACAATGCGAGACAGATGAGTGTGAGGATGATCTCACACTTAAGAAATGTGGAAAACATCCTGTACGTCCTATAACAAAAAATAAATATAATCTCATATATCTCCAAACAATTACACGTTACAAACTACAATGATTCCTCGCAAAATATAGCCTAAATGTTACGTTTTCATACCTTTAGACTGTATTTTACAGTACGTTGCCTTTAAGAAACCGAGTTTACTAACCACTCTATAGGCAAATTAAACGCAGTTAAATACGGTTTCAGTCACAACCACATACAGCAAGTAGCCCCGCAAGTAGTTTAAACCTGTTTCATATTCATATGAGCATATGCTTCACTATTCGCAAAATGGAACTCGCGAAAAAGGGCGTTTCGAACTTTCCTGGAAAACACGCAGCAGTTCCGCCGTTCCACTGACTCCCGTCCTGCTCGAGCCTGCGCTGTTCCTGACAGAAGCGCTCTCACACTGATCCCTAGCCTGCTCAAACACCACACCGGAATTCCATGGAAAACCCTCCGAGCCCAAGTCAAAGATAAACAAGCAAGAATAGTCTTCGTTAGAATGTGTTATTTGTGAGACAGTCAAACGCAAAGGGGATCATTATGCAAGGCTCGCAAAAGGAACCGCAAAATGACACTGCATTTCAGAGAAACTTTTTATGCAGTTTAAATTCCTCTTATTTCAGTTTCATGTCAAAATGAACAGCCTACCCCAATCTAAAATAGAAAATATATCAAAATGTTATATTATATTATTTATTTGTACATTTCTCCAACACATTTTCAGTATGGCAGACAAGACAGAGGTTTATTTTAAAAACATTTTAAAAACAGAATGAGCCATGCTTATGGTCTCTCTCTCTCTCTCTCTCTCTCTCTCTCTCTCTCACACACACACACACACACACACACACACACAGTTTAGGTGTTAATTGGCATGACAAACATTTGATATTTGTAAATTTGTATTGCCAGTGCAAGAAAGGAGTAGTACAAAATAATATAAAGAAAAGAACAAAAACAGTAATTGAAGTATAAAAGTATACTTCAAGTAAAAGTAATTGAAGTATTTTGTGCATTCTGTGAGAAAGTGCAGCTCTGTCTCGATTTTGTCTGGATGCAGTGTGGACACGCAGCCTCTCTTCCTGTGGCAGCCATGTTTTCCTGTGTTTGCCCGTCTCTATCATGTGTCCACTGAGTCTGTACCTGCTCAAGGTGGCTCTCAGTTTTTTATCTGTTACTTTATACAGATAGTCTGCCATAATGTACTGTCTTTTTAGGGCCAAATAGCAATGCATTTTACTTTGTTGTTGTGTTTGAGATTCCCAATGTTTAATGTAATTGTGTTTTATTTGTGCTGTAATTTGGTTGAATTTAATGTGTTTGGCAGTATTGTTCTGGTCCAGAGTGTCAGTGTGATGAGGGTCAGTGGATGTTAGTGAAACGTCAGAACTGAAGCTCTGGACCAGTTGAGAGAGGGGATTGCTTCAATTGCTCAGCTCTTGGTATTGCAGGGCTTTATGATGTATGAGTCGGATCACAGAGTTTTAAATGCTTGCAGAATTTGCCTTTTTCTGTATTTTTATAATTAGTGGATATTTGCCCATTTCTGCCCTGCATGCATTATTTGTTGTGTTCCGGTGGATGTGTAGAATATTTTTACAGAATTCTGCATGTAGGGTCTCAGTTGGATGATTGTCCCATTTGGTTAGTTCTTGATTTGGATTTGTCAGTGGACTGGACCCCACAACTCACTGCCATAGAGGGCAATCAGCTTGATGACAGATTCTTATATTTTCAGCCAAATTCTTAGGAACTCTATTGGGCATTGTCGTTTTATGGCATAAAAGGCACTGCGTGTTTTATCTCTCAGTTCATTCACTGCAGAATTAAAGTTACCTGTGGATGTGATTTTCAAACCCAGGTATTGTAGTGTGATGTGGGTGTGTTCCCTGGGATCTGGGTGTTTTCTGGAATGCCATGATTGTAGTTTTCTTAAGATTTGACTATTAGGCCCCAGGCCTGACAGTATTGCTCTAGCAGGTCCATTTTCTGCTGTAGACCTCGTTCATTGGGAGACAGCAGAACCAGGTCATCTGCATAGAGCAGACATTTGATTTCGGAGTCGTGTAGAGTGAGACCAGGAGCTCCTCCCTCTCACTCTGTGTGTGAGAGAGCCGTACAGGAGAAACACATAACTTCCATCTTCCATTCCACTCGGGTTCCGCTTGGAGACGCCTTGTGGTTGAAAACAAGTCATAACATATAAAGTTGCACAACACGTTTCACAATACGGCATGACCTCCAGGCAATATCCCAGTGTAGCAAAGTGGCGTTGGGCAACAGAAACACTGGAGAGATGACTACGCCACCCTAGGACTTGCACCCAGAGAAATACTACGCACCCTCAGGTGCAACTCAAGGCAACACAGGTTCAAGTCTACTAAATAAATGAGCAAGAGACGTGGGTACAGAATTATATTTTGTTTTATTAATTCAATTAATAAAATTATTTTGTAAAAAAAAACAAAAAAAAAACAAACAATAACCAAATTAAAATGGTACTACTTGCTGCTGATCTCAAAGATACACGCAACACACAAAAAGGTTTACAGGGCTGTGGTCAACTGGTATCAAACTCCTAAAGAAGCATACATTTCAATTATCACACACTATCAGTGCCCACAGTCACACACTACCCAGTGAGATTAGTGTCGGTGATCAACACGGCACGACACTGCACACGGTGACAAGACAGCACCACCACCACACAAGTGTGGAGAATCTGCCTCCCTGCTTTTTGTTGGACACACAGCACCTGTAATTAGATAAACCAAATCAACTTAAACCACACACCAATTCACACTGAATATAAAAGAAAAGGAAAATAATAAACTTAACCTCGATTTCTAACAAAATCAAGGACACAACAAAAACCAAAAAAAAAGAATAACAATTCCCAACAACTGGTTCAAAAAGACAAATAATAATAATAATAATAATAAAAAGAAAAAGAAATAAAGCAAATTAATAAACTAAAAGATTAAATACATTCAGGTCAAAAGAAAATAAACTCATGCACAAAAACTAAATTAAACTGATACAAAACAAAAGTAGACAAATCAACAAAAAGCAACTAATGCACAAAAGCAAAATTAAACTGATACAAAACAAAACTAGACAAATAAACAAAGAACAAGACAGCAGCTTATTTCTGGGGACTGATGTTCAGACTAAACCACGTGCACTGCAGCAGGAACCCTCCAACATATTACGGACACTGCAGCAGTCAGCCACGTTAAATTGACAGGGCCGGCGTGAGCACTGAACAGTAAAGAAGCAGAAGTTGACGCTAACAGCAACCAGATAATGCAGCCAACCGCCACACCAAAGCAGAGCCAGTACGATGCGAAGCAGTGTAGATGCAAGGGGCTGACAGCAACGGGATGCCGAGTAGGCAGTCCGACCAAACACCAGTCGCAAACATTAACCAGTTGACATCTCATACGGCTTTCCAATAGACGCACAAAATCAACCCTAAGCGAGCCGTGGCTGAATTAGCCACACCGCGCTAACAAACACACACATCAGTGTCGAACGCCAGTACCAGAAAGGGGGCGGGGTGCACCTGAGTGACACCTCCGACTGACACAAATCAGCCCTTTATACACCCACCTATGCCTGCAAATAGCCTAACAATATTCTAACATCAATACAGGGAGCGGCTAACTACCCTGCCACACCAGCAAACACAAAACGTTTTAAAAACGTAGTTGTGTTTGCTGTAAATGCCTTACATATGGGTTTTGATATAATCATTTTTTTCAAGTGCCAACCGTGTACTGGTGACAGTACGAATGAGAGAAGGAGAGTCAAAACAGCTGATAAAAACATCACAATAATCCACAAGTAAATCACATGACTCCAGTCTATCAATTAAAGGTCACATATTTTACACCTTTCTGGAGTTTTATTTTAAGTCTTGATGTCCGTAAGAACATATATTTGCGGTATAAGTACCAAAAACCATCTCAA